CTGCTGGTGTTTGTGAGTGAGGCCTTAGGTCCGGTTCCAGCCCGACACTTAACTCTGCCCGGCTAAGTGTGCGAACCTAGTGAGGCGATACCGCGGTGAAGGCGAGACCAAAGTGAGGCACTTCTTCGCCCCTCCCACTGGCTTTTATGGAACTCACGACGCTGGTAGCACTGGGTCCTCGGCGGGCACGCAGCGCGTGGGGGGCCCCGCTGTCGCACCCCGCGTGTGGTGTATGGACCCCTGTACATGTGCCCAGTGCGCATATGCAGCGCCGGGCCAGTATCGAATTTTTGTTGCCGTTGTTGGAAGGGCGTGAGAGATGTTGTTGGGGTAGCTGGGGTGTCCGGAAATTGGAGGTTTGAGGGGGAGGTGCCCGTGGGGCGGGTGGGTGGAGGGTGCAGGAGTATGGGTTGGATGAGGACGGGATGGGGTTGTTGCTTTCTGCGGTGAGGGGCCAGGGGGCGAGCGTGAGGCCGATGGGGAGGGGGGGGTTGTGCGGAGGGGACGCGGGTTGAGAGGGGTCGTGGGAAGGCGGTTGATTTAAGGGATTTGCATTTTGTGGACTCGGAGAAAGAGCCCCGCGACGCTGACGGAGAAGGTCAGGGAAATGGCGGAGATCTTCGGCGCGACGGACCCAGGGACCAATCTTTACTCGTCGCATATGCGGTATGCGGCGATGGCGCTGGGTGGGAGGGAGTGCGTGCAACTCCGGTGGCCGAAGCCCGGGAAAGGGGCATGGTCGTGCTGGGACCATGCTGGCTCGCAGCTTATCTACACCGAGTCGGGGGCGGGCAAGGTGACGGACTTGTCCGGGAACCCAATCGATTTTACGACGGGGAACAAGCTGTCCAACAGCTGGGGCTTGATCACGGCGGATGAGAGCATCCATGGCGAGATCCTGGCGTTGACCAACCATATGCGGGCAGCGGAGGCTTAAGAGTTATGAGAAACGACTAGACATGCTGCTGCTAGACGCAGGCATCTATACCCCTAGAAAGAGCGAAGACCTCTTTAAAAGAATCAAAGTCAACCGTAAAACCCGTCCCCATACGGCCTTGATGCCACCAGTGATTGCCTCCCCACTATCGTGTACATGTAATGCGACTCTATTCTGCCAGCTTACAATATCAAGGGCAGCATCTATTAGTACAAACCTGGGACCAAATCTGTTGGGCCGGGGCAGACATAGGTCGTGGCCTCTCCTTTCTACCGGCGATTGGTTGACCCGTTCTCATTAACCAAGTTGTTTCCATTTTTCTGATAACATTAAAGCTATCTACAACATCTACATCAACACACAGTCTCTGTTCAATCTACTACATTACCCAAAACAACCTGATACCAACCTCAACCTCCCAAAGACTCACAACGCGAGTCAAACCCCTAGGTAGGTACCCGAATACTCACTCCCAAACATCCACCCACCCCCTCCCCCCCGCAACCGCCTTCACCCGTCCCCCAATCCCCAACGGACTCCCCTCCCACAGCACAAAATGCCCCTCCCCCACGCCAGGCTCCTCCACCCCAACCATCTCACACAACCCCCTTCCCACCATCCCCAACGCCTCCCTCTCACTCACCCTCCCCTCCCCATTCCGCCACACCACCCCCGCCAACAATCCCAAGTCCCGCACCACCCAGTCCTCCTCCAACCCAATCCCCCACCCTAACCCCCGGCCTCCACCAACCGATTCCACCCCGGTTCCCCCGCGTCAACGGCGGCCCCGGTCAGCGCGCGCCGCTGGTCCCACGTGGTGGCGTAGGAGAAGAGCGGGGCGAGGATGACGCCTACGTGGGCGGCGGCGAGGTCCGCGGCGAGAAGGTGGGCTTCGGCGGCGCCGTGGAGGACGAGGCGGAGGGGCGTGTGCGTGGTGGTTTCGATGAGGGATTTGAGTTTGAGGAGGGCGGCGATGGTGTCGGCGGAGTGGACGGTTATTATGAGAGGGAGGGTGCCGTTGGTGACGAGGCGGAGGTAGGACGCTTCGGAGTAGGGGTCGGTGTTGGGGTTGTCGTTGGGTGGGGTGGTGACGGCGGTGAGGAGTTTGATGCGGAGGGCGGCGATGGCGGCGGAGATAGAGGGGGTGTCGGGGTGGGCGGATTTGATGGATGGGGTGAGGGTGTAGTGGACGGCGGCGTCGGCGGAGAAGATGGTGTTGTGGGAGAGGGGGGAGAGTGCGCCGGTTAGGAAGCCCACGCTGGTGCCGTGGTGGGTGTCGAGGCCGCGGAGTCGCGGGGCTGTGATAGCCTTGGTGACGCCATAGGTGTAGGAGATGTTGGTCTTTTGCGTGTCGAGGGCCAGGCCGTCTTCGGCGCGGGTGAAGGACGTGCCGCTGGGGCCGTTGTCCGTGTCCTTCTCGGCGTCGATGGCGTTGAGGCCGATCTTGGAGCCGAATGCTGTGAGAGACTCGGTGAGGTAGCCGTTGTTGAGCTTGATGATCGGCGTGTTGGAGGCGAGAAGCAGCCTGCAGCTCGGCCTCGCACGCCCCGATGCAAGTGACCTTGCCCTTGGACACAACGAGGGCGTTGTTCTCGGACAAGTGTTCCACGTCCTCATTTAGTATGACCCTGGAGACACCAGTGAAAATCACCTCATCCATGGCCACAGGGCCCTCGGGAATCTTGGACAGGCTCTCATCAGGCACCATCATCTCTGCCACGGGCTTCTTTAGTACCACCGGATCATCATACTGCGCCGTCCCGTCGATCCAGACCTGCACCGGGGCCGCACCGACGCTGAGCGGGTCGCTATCCCAGACGACGACGTCGGCATCAAACCCGGGCTTGATCTTGCCCAGCCTGTTTCCAAAACCGAGGCGCTCGGCCGGAGCAGTGGTCACAGCAGCTAGCGCAGCATGGTATGGCAGACCGTACTTGTAACCTTTGGCAGCCTCAAAGACCACGTGTTGAGCGTTGAGGACCGGGTTGTCGCTGACGTAGATGGGCGTCAGGCCGTTGTCATACAGGATCTTGCCGGCGTATTCGGAGGCGACATTCGCTTCCGCCTTATACCACATATTGTCGGCAAACAGGGCTGACGCGGGTGGCTCACCACCGTATGCCCGCTTAAGAATCTTTGTGGAAGTTAGCAATGCTATATGATACAGCGTGCTGAGACGTGGGGCAGCGGGCATACCTCGGGGACCAAGAAAGTCTGGTGAGCGTGATGGAAGGCTTGGACCTTGAACTTGAACTCGTTGGTGTGGTCCACGAAAGCCTCAAGATCCGGGATAGTGTAGCAGTGGGTGTTCAACCGAACCTGGTGCCGCAGCAGGGCCCCCAATGACTCCCAGCGGAGCTCTTGAGGTAGGTAGGACTTCATGTGGTGGACGCCAGCAGCGGCAGCATTGCACCAGTCGTCCTGCTCCTGTACCACCTTGGTTGCCTTTTCAAACGCTTGTCGGAACTCCCAGCTCTCGCCCAGTCGGCTGGTTGGGCCCTGCTTGCCTGCGTTGCCGTACACACGCTTGGGATTCTCACCACAAGCCATCTTCATGTACCGCCAGTTGCGGTCGGGATCCGCAAGCATGTCCACGGCGCTGGTCTCGTTACGTCCATCGGCCTTGCCCACAGCGTGCTTGATCACAAAGGCCTCGCCGCCCATGTTATTGGCGGACCCGGGCAGGACCAGGCTAGTCGTCACGCCACCCGATTTGATGACTTGAATCTGGTGAGCAAATGGCTGGATGCCGTCGATGGAGCGGACATAGGGTGTGATGTCGGATGCCATCTCATTGGTGTCTTCGTTCCCCCACAAGCTGGGGAGTGAATCCACGCCGGCATGGCTATGCATGTCGATGATGCCCGCCGTCAGGGGGCGGCCGTCGGCGTTGAAGACCACAGTGTCGGAGGCGACAGAGGACAGCGCGATGGAGGACTCAACCTTCTTGATGAGTCCATACTCCAAGTACACGTCGGCCTTGATCCAAGCAAAGCCGGCTCCATTCCGTGCAGCATCGGGCGGGGTGTTGGCGGCTGGTTCGCCCACCCAGACCGTAGCATTCTTGATCAAAGTAGGAGCGTGCCCATCCAAGTATCGCGCGTTCCGCTCGCGTCCGGCGCCAATTGGATCCTGCGGCTTCTTGCGCAGGCTTTCACACGTGGCGAGGTTTTCCTGCAACCGTTTGACGGACAGGCCGTGTACCGTGACATCTGGGTTTGGCGACACCACCGAGGCAGCAGGCCCGGATCCTGAAGGGTTGGAGAAGACCTGCTTCCACTGCGCGACGGCAATGAAACACAAACACCCGACCGCCAAGAATCGGATTGCCCGGGATCGGCGTGGTTTCTGTCGTTGCCATCGAGGAGGCTCGGTGCCGGCCCGGTGTGAGGGCAGGCCACCCTTTTCATCCATCTTTCCGTGATACTCTGGTTGCGTGATGATGTTTGTTTGGAGAGGGATTTCGATGGCTGGGGACAACCAAGTCAAGCAAGAGGACGCGCCGGTGACTGACCACGGACCACAGTGCCACAACGCTTGTCGGAGCCAGTACCCGCCAATGACGCTAAATCCAGTGGGGCTTGCGTCTTCAAACTGCTGTATTCGGTTAATAGGGGAGGGATCTTTAACCCGAAAATGGAAGGTGTCCGTGTATCTCAACAAGGGATGATCAAGTCTCCAGTCTCGATGTTTTATGGGTCAGTAACTGGAGCCGTGAAAGCTTGATTCTATATCTGTAAAAGGATCCCGACAAAGCATATTCATGGCACTCAAGGAAGTTTAAATTGTATCTCGAATGTCCTGCCCCAAGGTTTAACCGCCGCCCTCAGAACATGGGTGAGAGTGTTACGGTACACGTTATGGAGTTCATGTACACAGTAACCAATCCAAAGTAACGAGGGTAAAACAAACTTCCATCTCATTTGTGTTGAGTCGTTTATGCCTTTGTTCTGCCCCCAATCTTGAGGTTAGCGAGTCTGGATATTCACCTTCACCTCAGCCGAGACGACCTACCCACAGCTGGGGGTTTTTGATCCGTTGCTCGTAACTTTGTTAAAATCCCATATGCACGATGCCCTCGGTGCATAACAAGTGGAATCTGGTCCGATTCGACGCAGCATCGCGCGCCCCAACCACCCCGACCCCAGCGCCCACGCCGGGGCCACCATATGATTCGTCTCCTCTTGTTATTCTCGCCGCGGTACTGGGCAGCTTAGCCTTTGGCATTGGCGTCCTATGGTTGGCGAGATGCGCCTACGCTGATCCGCTGCTTCGGCAGGCAAGAAGAGCCGACCCGGTTGCATGGTACCCTCTGCGTCTTTCTCCAGCACCCCCTGGTTCAGTGAAGCGGTAAGCCAGACAGCTAACCAAGCCCTTAGATCCCGCATAACAGCGGCATACTGATTTGCCAACGCGACTGCAGGGTGTTTGCGGTTTGGATTCCCAACATTAAACGCATTCGTCTTCTTCGTCCCGCTAGCCATGCCGGCACATGGACACGTCATCTCAGACCGACATATTCCCCACGAGCCTTGCTGCCGGATGGGGACTGGTACGGGCGGCCGAGGAGATTAGTGCTCGGAACATGCTGCCCAAGGAGATGAAGAAGAGGTTAGGGTGAGAACTTAAAGTTTCGGAAGAAGCTCCAAGTCCACTTGGAGTGGGGTGGTTGTTGCCGACATGTACCTCATTGTTTTCCTGTATGTGACTAGCTGATTACAAATGTCCAGTCATGGACCCATCTGTTCCACCCAAGCGTGATAACACCAAGAAAATCTTGGGCAGCGTCTCTGTCCCACGCAGCTGAGAAGTGGCAAGCCACATTTACCATGGTGAAGCTGCATGCATCACGCTACGGCCTGATGGGTGTGATGGGTTTCTGAAGATCGGTGCGGGAGAAGACGGTCAGCAAGAGCCTCGCCGATCACCCCCGCTCCCTCGGTCCTCGAAATGCACTTTGCAGACGCCAAGCTCCGCCATTGGCCACAACAGGATCAAAACCTTGACATTGGCGAGCGGAGTGAGCCTATCGTGATCATGCAGGTGCTCGCCGTCGATTGGTCCAGAAACAGCCAGACAACGCACGCCTTGGCAACGCTTAAATTTTCCTTGGTGATGCTCTCAACGTGTAAAGAAGCAGACTTGTGCCCGCACTCTTGACTTGGGGACCGCTTGGCTTACGGGTGCCTGAAACCCCCAAATCACCAACCCGCCTCCCCCTCCCTCCCGATGCCGTTGTATATTGTCGAGGATCAATACATTGATCCTGCGCCGCCTACGGATGCATGGGCGGCCTTTCTTGCGGCTAGGTTTTCCAAAAGGGCGGAGCTGTACGAAAGCTTCTCCGATCATGAGCGGGAGATTGTCAAGAAGGAACTGCGCCGCATCAAGCATTTGAGGGATTTTTTTGACGGGCACCGACTGTCCGCAACCGACGCTACCTCGTTACTCCGTTCATTGGAGAGGGCGCACGATACTTGGAGAAACCGCGCGAACCGAGTCTGCAAAGAAGAGCTTCACCGCATCGAGGTCGGTATTGCGAGAGCGAGCGGGTATCGTAGGCAGGAACTCAACCGCCAACGCCTGGTTTTAAAACGGGTCGAACAATGGCCGGTCCTCGACTACTCGGACCTGCAGAAGGCCGTGGCCCCGGAAAATTACATTCCCGGCCTGGATGCCCTCGACGACGGTTTGGACGACAACCCGGCAGAACCCAACTATGGGTACAATGGGTGGGTGGCTGCCTTCAATAAAGGGCAAGGCGGCGTGACACTGGACCACCCCCTTTGCCACGGGAAGTTCCCGCATCAGAAGATCTCCATGCAAAAGCTGCTGTATAATGAGGACCAGACGCCTCTGAAGCGCTCAGCGGACAGGTCACAGTTACGCTACTTCCATCTTCAGGCAAATAACATGAAATGGGTAGAGGTAAGCATCCAGGAAGTGACTAGGTCCCACAATGCTTCGTTGCTGACCTAACTACGAGGATGCGATCGCGAGATACTACGGGGAAGACTGTTCGCAGCTCGACGCACCACAAGGGCTATCCCAACGCGGGCTCTACCAGCCGGGCGCTAAGAAGATGCAGTCAAACACTGAAAAACTTCTGAAGCGTGAGCTCTGGCATGGGCAGGAGAGAGGAGGGGGTAGCAGCCACCTGCCAGCGCACTCCCGCCAAATCCGGCCCCGTTGCGCCTTCGTACCCTCGGCGCCATGGAAGCCCGGCGAGGTTGTGGCTTGTGAGAATGCCGTTGGCGCCCCGAGTAGTAAATTGATGGGGCCAAATCCGGCCAGCACGTACTACCGGTCGTCAGAATCCCAGGACATCGTATTGTTTGTGAGTGGGCCATCCTATTATTCGGCCTCCCTCTTTTCTGCTGACAAACTAATTCGTTTGAAGATGCCATATTTGCACTGGGAAATCGAGAAGCGCTTGGTCCGAATGACGAGCGTGATTCGGAAGACTCGGCACATGAATGAGCGGCAAGGCAACTTCGAACGGCTGAACAAGCGAAAAGGGACATGGGGGAGTGTCATCGACCAAGCAAGAGCCTTAGCTAGCCGCATGGACAGCACAGTCTCCGACGCTGAAGGCTGGCATGACGACTCCCCACCGTGGAGACCCAAGTCGGCACTCGGGAGCTACTTATGGCTGGCCGCCAAGCTCTATTTGCTCATCGATGAGGCCGCAGACTGGCGGCTCGTCAATGATCACTTGGGCACCTCGTCGCCGCTACATCCCCGGCGAACCCTCGAGCAGTACTACAACTGGACCTCGGAGGACACCGCGCACAGGGATCGACAGCAAGTTGTTTACCGCGGAACACGACTTCGAAGTGACCCGGAGGCGATTCCGAGAGTGATTATGGTCGATCAAATTTGGCTGTGGGTCTTGGACGAAAGTAAGTCACGCCACGCTTGCAAAGAGGATCAAAGGCTCACAAGTCTCCAGATACCATTCTTACCGCCTTTCCCAGGCGCTGGGGCCGTAATAAACCAGACCCGTCCGCTATCCACAGGGCGATCCGCGACCGGCTCGCGGGCATGGACGGCAGCCATATCACGTCCATCTATGATTTAACACTCATTATCATTGACGAATGTTCCAAGGTGTTCTTTGACAGAACCAAGCCGGACCTTCGACCCGAGGTGGTGGATATATTTGGCTCTGCTATCTCTAACATTGTAAGTCACACACCCCCACTGCATGTACTCACCCATCACGGAATAAACCACTCACTTGTTGGAAAATAGTCAGAGAAGAAGACAGAGGCGTACGAGCGCTTTGGTCGCGACGTCAAGAGGATGAACAACCAAGACCCCCTGCAAACAGACGAGGAGCTGCTGCGCAAGACCCTCAACATCAAGTTTGAGTGGTCTGCCTTGATGGAGGCGCAGAACGTCATTGACCAGCTCCAGATCATGCAGGAGATCTACTCGCAGCAGATTACGGTAATGATTGACTTTGAAAAGGCTTTGCGGGGCCTGAGTTCCGAGTCTCAGGTCAAGCCTGCCAGTGCGCTCGAGAGAGCCACGCAGTTAATTTCGGACATGAAGCTACGTCGGGACGAGCTTGCGGACCTGGAGAAACGCCAGGCAAATACTAGAAGCCAGGTAAGACCACAGCCCAGGCGATGGGCAGATTTTGACCCCAACTAATACCTGTATCCAGCTTCGTGAACTGCTCGATATGAAACAGCAGCAGGCCGGTATCATCGAAGCGAAAGCGGCGATCCGCAGGGCGGACGAGACTGTCATTCAGGGCAGATCAATCGTGGTGTTTACTGTTGTCACTATCTTCTTTGTGAGCCGCCCCCGCCATGCCGACATGTGTAATCCCATTAACCAGAGTCCAGTTGCCGCTTTCTTTCTTCGCCACTGTCTTTGGTATGAACGCCCAGGAACTAGACAGCGGGACAATGAGCATGGGGATACAGTTCATGTGGATGTGTAAGTCAACACCTACCCTCTCAGTATTATTGCACGGCGGGATCTAACGTTCATTCAATTCTAGTTGTACTTTCTAGCATCGTCACGACCATATCTCTTGGCCTTGCTTTCAGCCACTCCGCCAGGGCATTGGTGTTTGGCACATGCCGACAGGCCTTCGGCTACCTCGTGCGCCCTGTCAAGGGGAACAAGCTGGACCGCAGTAACCTTGCTGCCGCCTCGCCCCGTGCGATTCGCGATTTCATGATTGCGAAACAGAAGGAATGGGACTGGGAGACCACCAACCACGGGAACGTTATCACGAACGGGGCTCTGCCTCTGCATAAAAAGGGAGAAAAGGGGCGCGCGCCAACGGGGCTCAAACGGTTGTGGAGACGGGAGTCTGATTGAGGCTCTAGGGACCTAATATCGAGATGTCAACGCCGGCCGAATCTCATTTGCATAAACGGAGGATATTATGGATACAAGACTGGTTTCTTAGAGAGGTAATGAAGAAATGACGAGTATGATGGTTGTTACTGCATCCGAAACGGCGTCCGCCCAGATCGGGTATGAAGTATTCGTACAATAGAGAGGTACTTTTCTACCTATCCGGCGCCCCCTGCTTGTGGTATCAACTTTCTCTGCTTCCTCCACACCCTGTCTCGCGGTGCCGATCATCTTATCACATCCACTATCTCCCCTTTCTCCAAAATAACGTTCCTCTCATAGAGGTTCTAGTTGAGCCCGTCGGAATACGTCCGACCGCTGCCACCCCACCGGCGTCCTTTCAACGAGCGGCTCCCTCGACAAGTACGCCTCCCCCACACAAACCTCACCATCCAACAACCTCTCACCGCTGACCTGCTCATTATACCAAAGCAGATGCATCTTCCTCGGGTTCGCCGCCCTCCACACACCCCCTTCCACCACCAAGCCCTCCCCCATACTTTCCAACCCCCATTCCACCGCCACCCGCCCCGGCAATCTCGCCCCATCCCCAACCGTCGTCACCCACCCCGCCTGCCCCTCAACCACGGCAACAAGCGCCGCCGTGTCGGACGACACGAGCTCCTTCCCCTCGCCCGTCCTCATGAGCCAGGCGGCCGGCGGGCCCCGCGTCACAAACGCGACGGGGAAGGCGTGCGAGGTTTGGCGGGTGATGTCCGCCCGGATGAGCGTGATGTAGCGGCTTGCGTCGGAGTCGTCCGGCGGTGTTGAGGTTACTACGCAGAGGTTGGCGGAGGGGTTTATTCGGCTGGGTCCGGTGGTGGTGGCTAGTACGTGTAGGCCGGCAGTGACGGAATCCCAGGAGTCCCGGGGGGCGGGGGTTGGGGTTGGCGAGGTGGAGTGTAGGGCGCTGGGGCAGATGGGTGCGGTTCCCCAGGCTCGTTTGCAGTTTACAAGGAGGGTTTGCAAGTTGGGGAGGGTGATGCGGTGGTAGGATGATGCGGTGTTGTTTTGGGGCAGGGCAGCCCCGCTGCCGAACAGGGACGAGCACATGGTCCGCAGGCTCAGACAGACGTGCTGCATTCGAGGTAGGACGGCGCGGAGCGTCTCGCAGAGATGGATAGGTGCTGCCTCGAGTCCAGCTCTTCTTGTATGCCCGTCTAGGCCGGCCGTGTCTATCTCGAGGCTCACGCAGGTTTGTGGGAGAGATTCGATGATGGAAGCGATGGCTGTCTGCGAAATCTCGAAATCATGTCCAGTGCTATGGTGGGGGACATACAAGGAGAAGGCGCATAGCTTGTTCAAACGCGCAATGGCGCCTGCGAGGAGTGTGAGTGTCTCCTCGACTTGCAAGTTGCTGGTTTCCACATCTTGCGGTTCGTGTGACAGTGAGGTTGGCTGACTGAGGTGCAAGGTTAACGAACGCGGCTCCAGATTGGGGGTTGGACTGGCCACAAAGCTGTCGATGTCGTCGTACGACAGTGTAATGTCTTGTCGTTCCATGGCCGCGGGTTGTGCGGATCGTGAAGGATTGAAGGTTCCTTGGTTTAGGCGAAGCGCAAGTCTGAAAGATCCCTTGACGAATCAAAAGAACCGCACGAATGCCTCCAACCAAACGACCTCTGTAAAGCTCTCGAAAACACCCCGCCCGCCTCCTGCAAGCCACTACTTGGACCATCTCCTCACACCAAACCAACAATCCCCCTCCCCAACATACAATTACCACCAACAACACCACGCCCACAATCACAACCCACCCACAAAACAACGATGCCCAACACCAACCTCACATCCGCCCCCACCCTCAGCCTCTCCCTCATAACCTACGACCGCGGCCCGCACCCACTAACCAACGCCCCGCGGCCCCACCACTGGGCCTATTTCCTCGACAGCGGCGCAGAACGCGGCACCGTCTTCCAGCTGCGCGGCATGCCGGGCGGGTTTTACTACCCCGGTCCGGAGCACTTGGATATGGCGCAGGAGGGAGAGGTCGGGGGGGTGGTGGGGAAGCTGGAGGTTGGTGAGATCGAGATGGAGGTGGATGGGGATGGGGATGGGGATGGGGATGGTGATGGGGTGGAGGGGGTGCCGGTGGTGGTGGATGAGAGTGCGCAGTGGAATTGTCAGGATTGGGCGCTGGAGGGGTTGGAGAGGTTGAAGGCGGTTGGGGTTGTGCGTGAGGATTTGGGGAGGGAGAGGGTGAAGGCGTGGTTGAAGGAGAGGTGGTGATGGATGGGGTCTCTTGCGAGCATATTAAGGGATGTGGGCCTGGGGTGGTTGTCTACTGAAAACTACCTAGGTATGGATGGTTCTGTTCGCTGTTCGGCCTCGGGGGCAATAGCGACGAGATGTGGGCCTAGAACTACAGTCGACGGCTGGGATAGCAACACCCACCATCCCTGACCCCTTAAACGCCCATATAGTAGTACCGGCTGGCGTCATCCCACTCCAGCGCGATCTCGGCCTGCATCTCCTCCACCTTCACCACAACCTGCCGCCACAACTTAACCCCGAACGAGCCTGACGCCACATCAGGCATGACCGCCGCGCACAGATAGCCCTCCATACCACTAACCGGTTCACCCCTCACATCCCTCGCCCTCTCCCCTGCCGCCTGCACCGGGCACATAATCATTGCATGACCTATCCCATACACCCTAAAAGACTCATACTCCGGCGGCGGGTTCCAGCGCACCACCATGCCCGGGCGGATGCGCTCCTTGAACGGGATGTGACGTGCGTCCGGCTCCGGATCAACGCTGGAGTCGAGCAGCTCTAGACGGGAGGGCGCCGCCGCCGCTGCCATTCCGGCTGATTTGGCGGCGGCAGGCAACCCCGGCTTGGCGGCGTTGCGCTGCGAGTCGATGTGCAGCTTCCAGAGTTTGGTGTTGAAGGCGCGGGCCTGATCGACCGAGACGCCGGCCGTCTTGAGGCAGCGCGTGACAAACTCGGGGACAGGCAGGCGCAGGAGCTGCGGGCCGTTCTCGGATGGGGCGAGGATGAGGGCGTTGATGGGGGGCGTACCGGACTGGAGGATGGGGACAGGTTAGCGCGTGAATGGATGGGTTGTTGGGGTGGTCAGGGGATGGGAACGTACGTTGTGTTGGATCCAGTTGCGGAGTTGGTCGTTGTTCCAGGTCGCGGGCATGGCAGGGGTGTATTCCAGGGGCTGTGCCTTGGGCATGGGCACGCGCAGCATCTCGGCGTAGCGCATGGTGTTCTTGCTGGCGCCGAGGTCGGCCAGGCAAGGGTTGACGCAGGCCACGACGACCGTCTTGCAGCTGCGGGTGCTGGTCGGGTCGAAGATGTGTTTCAGCGTCTTGGTCAAAGTGCTCTGCCCTGAAGGGGACGTAAGCGGGCTTCTTGCTAGTTCTGCCAGCGAAGGAGTCGGCGTCAGCGAGGGCGCGGCCGCGGATGCAATCCTTGAGGATCGACAGGCTGGAGTTGATCTCGCGGGCTTCCTTCGTGCGGCTGGAATCGTGGGCGACCTTGTCGCGGGCGGCTTCGGAACCTGCCAAGTCGATCAGGTAAAGAAGACCGTCTTTGGCGTTGGGGAGTTGAGGGTTCTCGAAGCGAATGCGGCAGATAGCGTGCGAGCGCGACGAGTTGTCGTTCCTGAGAGTCGGCGTGGTGCTGCGCAGGGCGGCGGCGGCATCGATGTACCTGAGGAGCGTGTCCTTGTCGGTCACATGGTGCTCCAAGGCTCCGACCATCTGGGTGACGCCGAACGAGTCCTCGAGGATGGAGATTTGCTTGCGGTCGTTGAGGAGATCTGTGGCAAAGGGGAGGGAATTGTTAGCTCGGCCGCGCTTAGGAGAATAAGGACTTCACTGGGCAGCTTACCATATGCCGTTTGGCCCGCCAGCTCAATAATAGACATAGAGATCTTCCTCTCGCCGTCCAACGACCCATCCATCAGAGTCTCGGCCACGTGCCGCTGCAGACCGCTGACTGTCAGAGTCTTGCCAGACGCGGTTTGACCGTATGCAAACATGGTCCCAATGCCCCCACCCCAGGCCCAAGGGACCAGCGGATGGACCAAATCCTTGTAGAGATGGCCAGTCGTGGCATCCGGGCCATACATCCTGTCCACCGAGTAATCGAAAGACTTCACATTGTCAGATTCTAGTTACTATACACGCAGTGATGAACGTGTCGCTTACCCTGATTCTCGCGGGCCCTCTCACGGGTTGTTGTATCTCGTGCAAGTCGACAATGCTGGTGCCATCACGGATGTAAACGCCAACAGGGAAGCCTTGGGCGAGCTCATCATCCAGCATCGGCCGAACCCTCGCGCTCACCACAATCTCCGGGTTCGTCTCGGTTTTATCGCTCTCTTTGGGGCCTGATGTCGTCGGTCTAAACTCAGCAACGAGCTTTTCGTAGCGGGCGACGTTGTTGAGGATGTATTGCTCCATGGTCAAAGGCTTGAAGTCAATGTAGAAAAGCAATGGATTCTTCTAGGTTCTCTGAGACTCTCTGATCGATAAGGCCTCACTCCCAAGGGTTCAGGTAGAGAGGTGAGAGATGTTGAATCGAAGCCCAAACGACGAGTATGGTTGTTGACCTTTTATCACCACCAAACGCAGATGCCTGAACTGTGCTGGCATTGCTGGGCAAAGTACCTCCCCGCAGTTTACCTCCTGTCCTGACATGGGCCAAACAGAATGCCCCAGTCACCAGGCAACGATTTTGCCCCACAGTTGTGCTCGGGTTGAAATCATTCGTTATGGACGGCGTTCGCCTTGGTGTTTTTAGCCAATCGAGTTCGTTCAGACTTCTTGAGCGAAAGGCATCAGCATTTCGCTCCCTGTCGACCACGGAGTCTTTTTTGATTCGACCCAGCTGTCACTGCCTAAAGGTTCAGGAAATATTGACTGAAGCCTGATGAATCAGGAATGAGTCCTCGATACCGGCGGCTAGTGACTGGTAACTTGAATACGACGATTAACAACTCCTCGGTACTACCTTAGGAGGAGGAGGTGTGGCCCCGACTCCTGCACGTTCCCGCTCCCGGATGACCAGAACACGATGAGCGAAAGCAGGGTGAAAATTGCCTTGTACAGTTGTTCAACTTGAGGCGGGATGCAAGTCTGGAGTCCTTGAGTTAATAAGATTAACGGTTACTTAAAACCTCAGGGACTTTAGTATTGTGTCATTGAGGATTCGGGGAATAAACCTCAATGAAGTTCTCCGTAACTCTTGACTCCCTAATTGTACCGGGGTTGACATTGTCAAAGCTTCAAAGTCAGTTTAGAGTGCCTTCAATGCTCCTCGGTCGGTACATGAACATTGCAAGTTAGGTAATTGATGCCATGGAGAGACAGCTGTCACCGATGGCTGCATGATGCCCTTGGCCACTTCCATAAAAGGGGAGCCCGCATCCTGTATGCTGTGTCTTCTTTGCAGCCTGAGAGAATCATCATAACTGCCACGGTAGTGAACGGGATGAAAGCGGGTTGCTGATTGATGTCAATTGGGCTGTGCAACCCTTCACACGCTGATATCCGCCAGCATCCATCTTCAATAAATGCGGTTTCCCATCTAAAATCCGGCGTGTCGTGGCAATGGTTATTGGATTGCATTTGCATTCACTTCTGTTGAAGGAGACGGTTGCGGTTGAGTGCATTGTGGGTTCCAGAGTCCGATGCCGTCTCCGTGACCACTAGCAACAAACCGAATTCCAAAAACAAATACCGTCGAGTACGAAGTAGAAGAACCCGTGTACTGCTGAAAAAAGTTATCAAAGAACAGAAACCAAAAATGAGTAAACATATCGCTTAAGTTACTGATTACGAAATTTATTAACTCTTGTTGAAGTTGTTGGCGGCATGTCGCGTCCACTGCACCGAAATCGAACACTTTGGTCTGTGATGTAATTAGTTGGTTGGCAATATCAAGTTTTGGGATGATGTCGCATGCCCTTCCGCGCAGAATGAGCCAACACGCAAGTGTTTCTCGGCTTCAAGCGCGAGAGAATTCGGGAAGTGTTGGATGATGGCCTGTCAGAAGAAGCCGAGGCCTGGGGCAGGGTAACTGCCAAGACTAGAGCCAAGCATGCAAGCCGCTTGGTTCAGGGGCTATCCCACTCAGCACCCATCCCATCAACCCCGCCAGCCCACCATGTGTTGCACCTCAGTTGGGCGTCCGATAAGGGGGACCAACAAGTCTGTAAACCGGATAGATGCGCCTGCGCCTTCCTCAGTTGTTTGTTGGCGGCCTAAAACCCGCGTTTCCACTGCCGACTTTTTTTCGTTCCACCATTTTCATTTTTGTGAATGACCCGCCCCGCCCCACCGCGTTGAATTCGGGCCGGCTTCAATGAACTGACGTGGGCATTTGCGTTCTGACCATAATGGTCGATAACCCATCTCGTTATCATCGTCAACACTCGCTCTATGCTACCGGATTGAATCGGTTGCATCTGGGCCTTGCCCTCGGCTGCTGATGTCACACCGGCTCCAGACTTAGCGCTGTACCACGTTGCTGGAACGGGAAATGTCTCCGGGTCCTTCTGCGCCGTTGAGGTAGGTATGGAGCCAGGCGCCACTCTCCATCCCGTTCAGCTGCCAACCGAGCCAACACAATCGGATGTGAAAGGGCCGCTGCGGTCTGGGGAACTCGTTGGCCAAGCCGAGAGCCAAGCCGAAATCCGGGTTGGTGACCATGCATGTGCGCTCAGACGTTTTGGGAGCCCCAGGCTCTCCCCGCGGGAGCGAAGCCACACCAGGCCTGGCCTTCGACTCTCTCCCGGCGAGCATGACGACGGGCCCAACATGGCATTCCTTGGCTAGCCAATGAACTGGAGTCGGCCCAAAAGATATGGTGGGTGACATCGAGGCGTTGGCGAGCGACGCCCGGGGGGGACCCGACCGAACGGGAGACCAACATCCCGCCCCAGTCACCGTAACGGCACCGGTTCGAGATATCATCACCTATCAAACTTCCATCCAAAGGGCTGTTTACAAGGCGGGGAAGCAACGACATGACTGCCGCACAACCGCCGCCGCGCAAAGCAGAGTCAACATAGCTCAAGACGATTCCGGTTCAACCCCAACGAAACCCCTTCCCCGTCGACGTCGTTGCTTTTCGAGCCCCTCGACATCTCTCACGACTGCCTGTTCTGCGTCAACCATGTCACGATGGGGTTCTACTCTCCCCCGCCACCGGCTCGACCCTTCAGCGAGGACAAGGCGACATTGCTCACCTCTTGGTGGATCACGGCAATGTGCGTCTTTATCGTCCTCCTCCGTTTGATCGGTAGATATGTACGCGTGGAAGCCCTATTTGCCGAAGACAAAGTCGCGGCCATTGCGCTTGTCCCGTTACTGTTACGCATGGCTTTTGTGCATCCCATTCTTCTCTACGGCACCAACAACGTCCTCGTAGACGACACCCATGCACTGACCGAAACCGAAATATACCACCGCTCAATCGGTAGCGGCCTCGTTCTCTTCAGTCGAATCCTCCACCCAGCAATGTAAAGCCCCCCGCTTCCCCCTCGCCAACCCCTTCAACAACCCCCACTAACAACACCGCAGCCTTTGGCTTTTCAAAGAATCCACCCTCGCCTTCTTCGACAGCCTCGTTGGGACCTCCGGCAAGCACAGTTACACGCGCCTGCTCCGATACACGCGCATCTTCCTCATAGTGAGCTTCATCGGCATCTGCGTCGCCACCCTTGCCGAGTGCCACCCCTTCCCGCAGCACTGGCAGGTCGTGCCCGACCCCGGCGGCCATTGTCGGCAGGGCTACGTGTACCTGACCATCACGACGGCCTGCAACGTGATAACCGACCTGCTGCTGGTCGCCCTCCCTGTGCCTGTCGTGCTGCGGAGTGGCATTTCGGCCGGGCGCAAGGCGTTGCTGGTGTTGCTTTTCAGCCTGCATCTGCTCACGGCGTTCGTGGCCCTGTATCGGGTGCCTGGGATCTTGCGCGAGCGCAGTTATCAGGCTACGAGGACCATGTGGGCTAGTGTTGAGGTCTTGGTGGCCACCTTTGCAGCGAACGCGTTGACCATCGGGACGTTTGTGAGGGATACTGGACTGAAGAAGAGGAAGTTTCGGTACCAGCCGCCAGAGGAGGATGTTGTGAGGAGTGCGAGAAGGGAGTCCAGGGTTGTCGGCAAGACAGTGTCGTGGGATGACCCTGTTTCGGAGGCAAAGGACGGCGTTGTTACAGAGACTGCAGATAGTGATGCCAGTGGCTTACGGGAGACGGATGGTACAAGGAAGGCAATGCTGGCAAGCCATAGGGAGCGAGGCCGTAGCACGGAGAGCCTCGACTCCCTCATCCCACGGAGCCGGTTTGGCGCGTCGACACCCAGCGGCATGGGGGTCATCAAGACGACGACGATTCAGGTTACAGCTTCCGCGGCGGACGATCCGTCGCTCACGCCCGGTTATGGCGCAGTCACGGCCAGTACAAGGGGCAGACTCCGGGGCTCAAGCATTCAGCTGCAACATTTGCGCCGCCTGTCTGATTCAGATGCTGGTCTGTGAGAGCAACAAGCTTCAGGCCGGTGGGTATTGTGGGTACAGCATACGTTCTTTCCCGTCTACCAGGTTTAATGCAAATCGATGTGGCTTTTCCGCCACTGTACCATCCTCACGTCAGATACAAGATGGTGGTTATTTTGTCTGTTCACGTCATGCAATTGTGATGTCGTTTCATGCAAAGTTTCATGTAGCATTTGCTCTTCCAAATCCGACTCGGTCGGTGGGTATTTAACGTCAAAGATTGGTTTCGCAATCGGCACCGGGGCGAACGGTGCCGGGACTGATCATGCCCGTGACTTGGGTGATTCTTCTTGACGCGTTAAGCTTCAAACGATAACCGAATGGGCCTTATCATCTCTCACGCGCCGAGGTCTGAGGAAGGCAGACGTTCGCAGTATCAGTGGAGAAGTGAGACATCCGTGCTCGCTGCAACAGCGCTAATCGACGCTAGTGAATTCCCCTCGTGGCAGTCCATCGCGTGGTCTGACAGGGGCCTTGGACGGCACGCAGTTGCCGCGTTGTGATGGTCTTGTGTCCCCAAAGTCGACCTCAACTCTTTTTTCTCTGGTTCCGCCAAGCACAAGGAAATGACATGTTTAGATTTATTTTCTTGGCTCATCCTAAAGCTTCACTAACCATCAACCAACGCGACATCCTTTCCGGCTCAATTTATGTCAGAGCGGTTCGGCAAAAAGGTAAGCCAAAGGGGGGTCTCGGGGAGCGGGGAGTGGTCGAGACCTGCCCTCGAAAACCAAACCACGCCATCGGTTCTTGGAGGGCCGCTAATGCAGGCCAATGCAAGCCCCTGCAGGTTGCAAAACGCAGCCCAAAAGAGCACACACACTTTGCTCTCTCGCTTTTCCCTGATGTCAGTTGCTGAGAGCAGTCCGGCAGGGATGTCCCTCCAAGTGTGCGCTCGCGAGTTCCAATCGCACACCAACAGGCATCCCCGGTCCAGACCACAACAGCTTATCGGTGAACCTGATCGGCAATCTTTTTTTTTCTGTTCCTGCTAAGAATGAACTTCCATGTCGTTCTAAGGAGATGCATGAATGTAACGAGCGCTGTGAAGACAGAAGGTGGATATCCGCTGGATGTTATCTCAGGCTCTCTCTCTCTCGTCACGAACGTTATCGAGTACCTACTGAGCTCCCCCGCCGGAACCTCAATAAGTCAAAGAGGGCCGACGATGCGGGGAAATCCGCCAGATCCCATCAGCCACCGAACCACTCGTCCCATCCACAACCAACCACATCCCCGTTCGACGCTCCGGGCAACTCCTAGTACACCGTAGCCGGCCCGTTCTTCGTTGCTGTTAACTGGCTTCCGTGGTTCGGGCCTGTTGGTAATAGGAGCAATACGCAGCTTTGGGAACCAACGCATAAGACGCCAACCCAAACAGAATCCAGACCTCGAGAAGCCAACCCGAGTCAGGTGTAACAACCCACGCACAGAACAGACGGTTTTCGGGCATCTTACCCTCCATGAAGCTCAGGCACTACCAAACCCACCAACAATTCTCAGCCCAATGACTCCTCGATCATGGCACTCAACACCAGCAACGACATCGAGATGAACCCCCTCGGCCGGCTTCACAGCTCCGCAGGCACAAGCAGCTTCTCAACCCACGGCGGTCGAAACCCCTCCGACGCCGGCACCAGGCCCAGCTCCAGCCGCACCGGCCCCCACCGCAATCACAGGAACAACAACAACAACGGCGGCAGCGGGATGCAAGCCCGCTTCAACAACTTCATCGACAGCTTCCGGCGCGAGGACGGCACCGGCGCCGGCAGGGGCAGCAGCTCCTCACGCTTCTCCATCCACACCAGCCACGCCGACGCCGACACAACCCACGACGAACCCTTCAGCAGCGGGACCCCCGCGGTGCGCAACCACCACGGCGAGCGGTACTACGACCTGCGCACGGCCAACACCAAGACGGCCAGCACGCTGCTGGCGCGCGAGCTCAAGGGCCGCCACCTGCAGATGATTGCCATCAGCGGGTCGATCGGGACGGGGCTGTTTGTCGCTTCCGGCAAGGCGCTCAGCCAGGGCGGGCCGGCGTCCGTGCTGCTGGCGTATTTGGTCGTGGGTGTGATGCTGTGGTGTACCGTGCAGGCGCTGGGGGAGATGGCCGTGGTGTTTCCTGTGGCCGGGTCGTTTGCGGCGTATTCGACGAGGTTTTTGGATCCGAGTTGGGGGTTTGCGATGGGCTGGAAGTGAGTGGGTTTCTTGCTTTCTGAGTTTCTGTGGTGACATGTTGGTCCCGGATAAACTAATCATTGTCATTATAGCTACGCCCTGCAATGGATCGTTGTTCTCCCCCTGGAGATCATCGCTGGCGCGCTGACCATTGGGTATTGGAATCCAGCGTTGGACCCATCCATTTTTGTGACTATTTTCCTCTTCGTCATTGTTCTTATCAACCTGGCGGGTATAAAAGGCTACGGCGAAGCCGAGTTCATATTCGCCATCGTCAAAGTTACCGCCGTTGTCGGGTTCATGTGAGTCCATCCCGAGTCCCCACCTCCCACAAACAAACCCCATTTTTCATGCGCACAACACTAACACCACCAAGCCTCTTGGGAATCGTAATAAACATCGGCGGCACACCAACAAGCGGCTACATCGGTGGCCGATACTGGCGCGACCCGGGCGCCTTTAACAACGGCTTAAAGGGACTCTGCGCCGTCTTCGTGACCGCGGCCTTCGCCTTCGCCGGCACCGAACTGGTCGGCCTCGCCGCCGCCGAGACCGCCAACCCGCGCTAATCGCTCCCCACCGCCATCGAACAAGTCTTCTGGCGCATCACCCTCTTCTATATCGTCTCCCTCGCCCTCGTCGGGCTCCTCGTCCCCCACACCGACCCGCGCCTCCTCAGCGCCACCAGCATCGCCGACGCCTCCGCCAGCCCCTTCGTCCTCGCCATCGAGAGCGCCGGCGCCACCATCCTCCCCTCCATCATGAACGGCGTCATCCTCGTCTCCGTCATCTCCGTCGGCAACTCCTCCGTCTTCGGCTCGTCGCGCACCCTGGCGGCCCTCGCCGAGCAGGGCCAGGCACCACGCATATTCGCCTATGTCGACCGCCGCGGCCGCCCCCTCGTCGCGGTGCTCACCGTCTCGGCGGTCGGTCCGCTTGCGTACCTGGCTAACTCGGACCGCCACGGCCCCGTGTTTGATTGGTTGCTGGCAGTCAGCGGGCTGAGCACCGTGTTTACGTGGGCGAGTACGTGTCTGGCGCATGTGAGACTGCGTAAGGCGTGGGCGTACCGCCGGCGGGAGGTGGGCGAGATGCCGTTCAAGGCACAGGCGGGGGTGTTGGGGAGTTGGCTGGGGTTCGCGTGTAATTGTTTGGTGCTGGTTGCGCAGGTGTGGGTGGCCATTGCGCCGCTGCCGAGGGATGATGGCGAGGAGTGGGATGTGAGTAGCCGGGCGCAGAACTTTTTTGTGCAATGTCTTGCGCTGCCGGTGGTGTTGGTGTTTTGGCTGGGCCATAAGATTTGGTTTCGGACGGGGTTTGTAAGGGTGGAGGATATGGATATTGATACGGGGAGGAGGGATTTTGGGAGGCTGGGGGCGATCAAGGCGCAGGAGGAGGAGGAGAGGCAGAGCTGGCCGAAGTGGAAACGTTTTTATCGTTTTATCTGCTGAGGTACCTAGTTGAGGAAAATAATAATAATACTTGGTGACCATCAAATAAGCACCTGCACTCTTGTGGCATACCACGTTCATTGCTGTTAGCAACCTTGACTTTCCATCATTTCTTTACTCCTTAATAGTTGCTCATAACATCTTAAGCAACGCAGCGGAAGAATTACCTTGAACAGCTTGCCATCTTTTTGGGGGGGTGATAGAGCAAAGCCTTTTTGCTTGAACAGAGGCCCAGAATCTAGGTACCAAGAATAGTTGAAGGGCTATCTATGAGGTGTAATATTGGACATGTCCTATCAGCAGCTTACACGTTGACACTGGGATGGGCATTGCTTGGGGATATAGAATGGTGTATACTGATTTAACTGCATGAGACTTCATAATCGGACCAATATCTAAGAAGATTCCGAGCCGCAACATCAAAGTGTGACTCAAGGACCTCAGAATAGTGCTTTGATCTATCTGCAACCTTCCGACTAGATACATTTGGAAGCTTCATTCGGGTATGCAATCCATTGAATTAACCGCTGAACAGGGCCGGGCCAGGAATCTTGTAGTCTGTGATGGTGGTGTAGGGGTTAAAGAGAATGCCGGGGTCGGTGCTCTTGTACAGCGCTGTCCCCGCCACGCCCGTCGGGTTCGCCGTGCCGGAGCCCGTGATTTGGATGTTGAAACACTGCGGGTAGTTCTGGGCGCCGTTGGGCGAGCCAGCTCCGTGAAGGGCGATGATCTCGTGGCGGAAGACGTAGTTGCCCGGGGCGATCGACTTGGGCACCTTGGTGGTCCAGACACCGCCTTGGTCGATCAGAGTCTGGGAAGCCCACTTCTGCGTCGCGTAATCGATGCCGGCCTCCTCGATCTTGACCCACTTGAGGCTGCTCTTGTCCGCCTTGGTGCAGTCGCCGCTGCATTTGGCGATGTAGGTGAGGATGGGCCCGTAAGGGTGAGGCCATGTTGCTGGCCAGTTGAATTGGACTGTGCCACCAGCGGAAACCGATGTCGTGAGGGTTCCTGGCGAGGCGTTCTTGTGGCAGTTGATGTGGGCTGTCTGGTACTCGTTCGGCGCGACGAAGCCACTATCCAGGTTCTCTGCATACCATGCTGCGATGTCGGGAACGGGTTGCCCATTGACCTTGGCGTAGTAGTAGTCCAGGATGAAGCCCTGGTTTGCCTTGCCGTCGGTCTTGAAGCTCGTGACCATGCCGTGGCCCAATACCGTTGTGGCCAGCGCACCGACAAGCGCGGCGGAGAGGCTTGCGTGCGCCACCATTTTGGGGTAAGGTGCAATATGGACTGCCCTTAGAGGTAGAATGGAGCGTAAAATTAACTTAAAATAAATGTGGCTGAGATAGAACTGGTGAAGCAACTAGCATTAGAAGTTAGGGGAGAGAAGTTGTTTTAAATAGAAGCAGTTGACGTGAGTCTCGTACGCACACGACCCGGTTCTGACCCCTGAATCGGGTAGTTATTCGTCGGCCCCGGCTCTCCCGAGGGTCGAGCTTCGTGGCGGGGATCGTAATATAAGTGGTGGAAGTTTGCGCCACTGGCAACGGTATCGAACCCTCCAAATCGAGAAGTATTCATTCGGTGATGTCGAAAACAGGGGCAAATGAGGGAGTCCGGAGCGCCTTCATCCGCCCCGGCCAGGATTGGACGATGAGAAAGTCTGATGTGGGGGCAGAGACAACCTTCTGAAACCCGAATACGGAATTCTGCTGTGATGAACTGGTAGCTCATCACAAAATGTATAGGGAGGAAATAAAATATACTCTTATCCTAGGGGGGTGACGAAGATGAGTGTGCATTACAAAACAAACCACTCGCCCTTGATTCTATCTGCCGCAGCCTTTCTTCGCCCCCCACAGTTAATCTCGACAGTTGCCATAGTTAGCCAAAGACGAGAACATGAGACCCCAATCCGAAACAACGGGCATGTCCTGCATTCTGTCGGTCTCGAGATCAGGTTCTCGGTCGTCACGCCATCACCGGGAGTGTTAGCCTGTGAGGAGAAGGCCGAACCACCGGAAACGGTCTAACTCTTAGCACGTTAGGATTGTAAGATCCCATGGATACAACGTTGTTGCAGTAGCTGAAGCTCACCCCCGCACGGTCGGAATTATATTATTATTCATACTCCGCTATGCCCTAGGGCCTGCCGGACCCTCAGCTATTTAGGTAGTGTACAGGAAAACCGTGCCCTCCCGGGCCGGGTGAAAAACCCATACCAACAATCGAGGAACGATGCGTTCTGGTGAGTCTGCGTATTACAAAGAGAGGAGGCCTCCTGGCCTCCGAACGGGAGGCGTTTCAGGCCGCCGCTTCCAGCTCGAGCCTCCTGGCTAAGTTGTACATCGGCAGCTTCCCCGAGTCCATCAGCCAGTCGAGAACTCTCCTCGCGAGCCGTGCAGTCGTGGGATTGATGCCGTGTAGAACAGAGTAAAAGTCCCGGTCGTGTCCGAATTCCAGTTCTCTCCCATCTTCGGAGTCAACGGTGGGGCCAAGCACCACACCTACCCAGGTGTTCGGCAGTCTCTCGTCCCTCGCCACACTCGCAGGCAGGAGTCAGAACCTCCGGGACTCCCCGTGTAAACAAGAAGTCCCGTAAGCCTATCGCTCCCCTCCGGATTTGAATCAGCAGTGAGCTCTTTGCCTTGCTGAGACCCGTCGTGCCTCCTTAGGGTTTCGTTCCGGAATAGCGTCTCCTGCTGATGGTCAAAGTCGTCCGCCGGCCTGGTGATTGCCCTGCCGTCCCGTTCCTTTAACCACCTGGCTTTCCAAGCCTCTTATACTACCCTGTTCGTATCAACGGTTCCCCCCGTCCAGCGCATGACCGTGCCCGCGGCTCTCTCCACCGCTGTAGGCCCTTGAGGTCCCAAGGTTTGCGGTTGGCCCCTGTTGCCCCTCCTCGAGCTAAGTCTCTGCTGTATCTTGCGGCAGGCGGTGAGGACAACGCTCGCCACCGTCTTCTTGCCGCCTTGACCGTCGTCCAGATCGGTTCGTTGGAGTCGGTTTTCGAAATCTGCAAGCCGTTTGTTTAGGTACAAGTCCAATGGTGGTACCCATGTCTCTGTCTCGAGGTTACGGATGAGGGTAGACTTAAAGGCTCCCACCACAATCCGCAAGCTCTTGTTCTGGGCCTTCCCGAGGGCCTTAGTGATGTCTTTCTTTACCGGCTCGCCTCCCACATCCGTGGGGATGTGAAACGATGATGCGCCATAGGCCAGGGCCGACCGGATGCACTTTGTGTACACTTCTCGCGCTTTGGCTAGCCCCATTCCCCACGTCTTTGCCACGATCCTCGACAGGGCATAGCTCTGGGTCCTCAGCTTCTTCTCCACCGCCACCAGGTGAGCCTTCCAGTTGAGTTTCCAGTCCAACCAGACTCCCAGGAATCTGGCAGACCCTTCTGGTTTAACGGGGGCTAGTGCCCCCCCTGGGTTGGGCAAGGTTTACCTGTTCGGTCCACTGCCGTCGCCCCTTTATTAAAATGGATGAGTTCGCTCTTTTCCGGGGGCGAACTTCATCCCCCGACTGTCCGCCCATCCGTATACACGTTTCCCACGCCGCCCTCTAGTTGGCCGGGACATTGACAATTGGCTTCGGGGTTTCTGACCAAATAACTAGAAAGGTTGGTGGTCATCCCGCCAAACCCTGTTATAGCTAAGTGAGGGTGCTCGTCTTTTAGCTGCTTGTATAGTGAGGAAATGTAGAGGATGAAGAGAACTGGGGAAAGGGGTGAGCCTTGGGGGACCCCTGCCCGAATTGCCGTCGGCGCCGCCGTCTTGCCGTCGAAAAGAAGGGTGGCCTCTCGACCGGTCAACCAATTTCTCGTCCAGAGGACCAGCCACCTCGGGAAGCCCATGTCTCGCAAAGTTGCTAGCAGTCGGGTATGGTTGACCGTGTCAAAGGCTCCTGAGATGTCCAGTTGCAATAGGGATGCCGCACCCTTCTGTCTCCACGCCTCCTGGACCTGGGCTACTACTAGCCGGACAGCCAGCTCTGTGGAGCGGTGTGCCCTGTTCCCCATTTGTTCATCTGGTAGGAGGCCGTTGACTTCTGCAGCTTGAGTGACCTTCCTTGCGACCACTGATTCTATTACCTTCCCCAGGGTTGGTAGCAGAGCAATGGGCCTGTATCCCCCCGGGGTCTGATATGCCGGCGGAGCCTTTCCTGGTTTCGGTAGTACTACAGCCTTCGCCCTCTTGAAACGGTTCGGGAACCATCCTAGCTCCAGGCACCTTGTCGCCAGAAGGGCCAGCACTTCAGCTAACGGTGCTCCGCACGCCTTCAGAAGGCCCATCGGGAGCAAATCCTCGCCTGGCGCCTTCCAGGGGCTGGCTCTTCCCATCGCTTCCGTGATATCGGTCGGCGTCACTGCCTGTACGACGTCGAAGCCCGGGTTTCAGCTGCCCAAAAAGGCTTGGTCTTCCACGTCCGTCAGGTTGGCCGGTGGGTCCGGGAAGAACCTCTCGGCCAGCGCGCTGGCCTTCTGGTCTTGCGTTTCGGCCGTTACCTGTCCGGAAGAATCCTTAAATTCCGGCAGCCTCGGTGGTTCTGGCGGCAAAAAGCTCCGCAGCCTAGCCCATCTTTTCAAGCTCCACATCTGATCGGGCTTCTTTGCCTCGCTTGCTTCCTGTAGGCTGTTCCTCCAAGCCCTAGTCCGTGCTTCGCGCGTTGTTCTAGCAAGGTCCTTGAGTCTTTCGCTAAGCTCCTCCCAGCAGTACTCTGCCCGGGTCTCCTTCGCCAGCCTCTCGGCCCTCCTGGCCTCCCGGGCGGCCTGCTGCACCTCCACAGGTCACCAGGGGGAGCTGTAGCCGCAGCTCGCCTTCTTCCGTGGAGTGCTTTTCTTCGCGGCCCAGGTGAGCCACTCGACCAGGCTATCGAAAGCTTTGTCAAGACCCTCGACTGTCTGGGTTCTGGCCGGTAGTCCGTCCGGTCCCGGGTCCGCGAGCCTCATGACCTTGTATAGCAACTCTGATTCAGCCTTCACCCTCTCCCTGTCCATCTTCTTCCAGGCCCAGCCATTCGGTTGGGTTGGCCTCGGCCCATGCCCTTCCCCGACCTCGAGCACTTGTGGGTAGTGGTCTGACTTTCCACGACACTCTTCCCCGTAGTATACTGTTTGGAGGTTTTCCGAAGTCCAGAAGTGGTCGATGGTTGACGGGCGGCCTCGCTGTCGCCCCTGAGGAGCTCGCGTTGCCGCTCCCCTTGGAGTCCTGATGGTGAGGTCCCACAGGGAACCCAGCTGCAATAGGTCTTCAGATTTCCTGTCGTAGCGTCCGAACCCATACCATACGGTCGGAATTATAGGGTTAGACGTTAACTCGAGAACTGGCAATTTGAGATTTTTTAGATACCGAGGTACCTTGGCATGTATGTAACCGTGAACATGTTTCTACAACTTGACAAAGTTTACATAGGTTGCGAAAGATGACAGGCTCGTCGAGGAACTGTTTGAAACTTTGGACGGACAGCCTTGCGAGGCGGTTGGGCGGTTGGTGGTGGAACGCTCTTATTGGATACCGAGGAGCTGGCACTTCAGGCGCGCGTCAACCAAATCTTCCGTGGGCACTCAGGGGTTCATCTACCCCCGCTCACTGACTTTCACCGAAAGTCACCTGCACCTTTGTTCGCATCTCAACCCGTCGCAACCCCCGGGCTTCCTTGCCGTTTGACTTCTGCAACTATCACATCCTGCAAACTCCTTTCAGTACGCAGATCGCCATGGCGCCAGTCATCACGAAGTGGAGCGATTTTGACAGTGTTTACGAGGCCTTCGAGATAAACACACACAAGTTCTTGTACACGACGTTTTCAGTCATTGACGATGACGACGTCTTCTACTTTGGCCAGCTGAGCGCCCCTAAACTGAAAATCATTTTGGAACAGTACACGGCTGCATTGGAGCGGATCCCCGACGAAGATCTCTTTCCCGAAGTCCTGGTGGATGCTCGGCTCACTGTCGCCCCGAATGACCTGGGCGTCGACGAGGTCTACATCAAACGACCGCGGTTGAGGAGTGTACGAAGAGTATAAAAAGGACGACATGCTCTCCGTCATCCCCACTCTACTCCTGGATGAGGCACGTGCATTGCAAATCATCTTGCAACAGCCTCACCCTGGCATTATCGGGTACCATGGATGCTGTGGGCGAAGGGGGCGTATCACTGGGCTTGTGCTTGACAAGCATACGCATGATCTGAAAGAGTATCTCAAGGATGGGGTGGGTGAGATTGACAAGGAAGCATTCATGGCCGCGCTGGAGGCGGCTGTCCGGCATCTCCTGTTACAAGGGCTGGGATTCCAGGGCTTGAACAATCAGCTGCCGGGGAAACCGGCAAAACCAAATGTATTAATAAGAATAATCTTCAATGGCCTCGAGAAGTCCATGAAGAGAGAAAGAGAAGTTCTGGAGCTATCTGACATTCTGAGTCTTTTTATACATGAAGGGTTTCGATGAGAAGGTGAGGAAGGGCGTCTGACGAGGACGCCAATGAAATTAGTGAGGACTGACCGATGAGTGGCCATTGATTTCTGAAAACGATTGGTGATGGTTGCGTCCACGTGGTGATCCGTGTGACATCACTCCCTTGGGCTTGCTCACAATGGTATGTTTGGGTGGGATATCCGGCCCTGGTTCATTGTCCTTGGCCGGCGTTAAGCACGACATCAGTACCGCCAACTAACATTCATGTTTAGACATAAATCCCGCCAGTATCCTCATCAACTCTGCCAAAATGCCGGTGTTGGTTGACTTTGGTTCTTGCCGCGAGATTGGTACAAAGCTGGGCGCATCATGGGGGACGGTGGGCTGGATTGACGGCGATATTCTTGAATACGCGGTATCTGAAGAACGCCACGACTTGTCCGCCCTTGGCAAGATCCGCGTTTGGCTTGACTCCCCACACTTTGACAGATAAACAGTTCAACTCTGCGGTGCTTGCGGTGCTCTGCATTCAATAATGCCTAACCCAGACAAGCCCGGATCGCTCTTTATTTGGGGGCGAAGGGTTTGCTCGCGTCCTCTCAGTCGTGTAAAAGATGCAACAGTGTAGTATGCGAGGAGCCTTCGGGGGGGGGGGGGTTGGTGCGCTGGTTGCAAGGTTCGAAACGGACCACGGGGTTTAGGCGCGTTGTGATGCTTGCAGAAGAGGGCAGCCACGCCTGCACAATGGCAACTTTACCGGCTACTTTTGAACCCAAGACTATCAGACAAATCATGTCACCCCTCTCAAACACTTGCCTGTCGACTGCCTCCGCCGATCCTCCTCATGTCACAGTGAGCAAAAGGGCATATTTGCCCTGCAAAGGCCAGGGGCACCCTATATACTGTGACACCTCACCAGCCTGGCTAGGTACTCTTGTGACGACGACCTCGGCACACTGTATAAATGTCTGCGTGATTTACGTCGAATTCTGTTCCCGGCGAGTGAACATTGCAATGCAGCTCGGCTGATGTTGTATGACATAAGTTCTGGGGAAGGGAGCGTGCCTGTGTGACCGAGAGGAATTGACGGTGACAAGGGGAACGAGCGTGCTGCTCGAGCTCAGAACCTTAGAAAGACAAGATTCCCGTCCCCAAGCCGAACCAGGGTTTACGCTCACCTCCGCTTGCCTAGCTCCGATCAGGCCGAGCGCCCCCCGGGGTTTGGGACGACTGGTCAGTTTTTCAATCTCATCTGAAAACAGATGCCGTGTTTCGCAGCGCAATCTAAGTAAGGCTTTTGCTATTCGGGCACTCATACTTTGGCTATTGGGGCACTCACCCCCTAGATCATTGGGAAAGGGTTAGGGCTATATATGGTCACATCTCACTCCAGAGCCATTCTTGCATTGCTAACGAAATCTATCATTTCTGCAACAATCTAATCCTACAATAGACACTATTACTTCCCTAGAGCGCTCGAAAACAATAGAGAGTAGTTATTTCGCTCCTTCCTCCGTCCTAGCCGCCTTGTACGTAGGTTTGATCGCTCGGCCGCTCCGCGTCACCCTCACGGGCGCTTCTGGGACCAAACTGTTGTTCCCCTCTATGTCTTTGGTGGAGACACCCGCTGTGCCCCGTCTTCTCGAGTTTGTAGAAGGTATGTTAACCTCTGGCTCAGAGACTGGAGGCCTTGGATGGTGGAGGAGAGGAAGCCTTCAGTGGGGTTGGGAATGTCTGCGCCTGGGGACTCGTTCTCGCTGTCAATACCGCTCCAATCAGGGTACTGCTGGTTGTCTAGATCGCAAACAGAGCGTTGTAGAGGGGAGGGAACGCGCTCAAAATTCGTAAGGTCGATAGGAAGCTCGGGGAGGAGGTCGTCGATGTCAGGAAAATCGTCGACATCGCCGCCGAAGTCTTGGGAGGTGACTGGGCTTGAGGGGATGGCGATGGGGTCGCTGTGGGAGCTGCCTGTGCCGGCCATCTCTGCACTTGACAAACGCGCGATTTCTTGGACGGCGCGAGGGCCTGCAATGATTCCGACGGTCCCGCAACACTGTAAAATGGTTAATTTGGCCTCAGAACGCGGGTGAAATCGCTGCAACTAACCGTGGTTGGTAGCGGGGCACCCTGGTGATGTCGAAAGATTACATCATGTTTCTAACGTTATCGCGATACCTGGTAACGTAATCTATCACCTTCTGGGACACACCACCTTGTGGGACACTTTTCTGCCCCACACCCCACCACGTCGACTTCGGACGCACCTCACAACACAAAAGAGAGTCTATTCGGAATGCATTCTACATAATTCGAGCCCTTATTTACAAGGGCATTTTCTGGCGTTGTGCTCGATTGAGCCACAAACACTGCACTTCGGCTGCGCACGCTTTCGTGCCTTTGGCGCAGTCGTGTCTGATGGCCCCACCTCTCCTTCTTCGACCTCTCGACGAGCTTCCTGGCTTCCTTGACCCTTCTGACGAGCATTCTGGGAGGCCTCGATGTGTGTCATCCCTTCTCCAATCGTCATAGTCCCTCCTGTTTGAATGAAAGCTCGGCGTGCCCGCTTTCTCTTTTGTCGACCATTTTCAGCTCGAAGTCGCGAGTTCTCTTCCTGCAAAAGAGTAGCATTGTGCATCGCCATCTGGCAGCCCTTGATGATTTTCTGAAGCGCCTGATCTGTTGGGATTATCTCTCTCTGGTGTTTCCTCTGGAGAGAGTCAAGTTCGACGATGTTTGCGGGCGTTTTGAGAGGCAGACTTGGCGGTTGGATAGGGGTAGGAGGGGGACTCGGTGTCCGTATCCTGGTTTGTAGCCGACAAAGAACCTGAGTTGGATCGAAAGGCAAGAGCCCTGCAGCTCTAAAGCCGCTTGCGATGTTCTTTGTATTGAATGTCTTTTTCCGAGCTTCGAGAAACAGTTCGAGGAATCGCGGTTTGTCAATGTGATGAACCCCGAGTGCTATCTTCGCTTTGACAAGGTCGCCGTACGTCCGCTTAAGCACAGCGAAACAGCTAACGTCAAGGGGCTGGAGGTAGTGCGACGAGTGCGGAGGCATACACTCTGTAAGGATCCGATGCTCAGTACAGAATTTGTCAAATGCAGGCGTCGAATGGCTTCCATGACCATCGAGAATGAGAAGCCGATATCGACCAACAGTCCGTTTTCGAGTTTGTGGCTCGAAGACTTCTCGAAGCCACTCGAAGGTAAGCTCATCGGGTTGTCCAGCCGTTATCGCTGACTCCAATCCGCCATGTCTTTGGCAGCACTGAGCCGTCGTACCACGACGAAATGTGGACTTTTCCTTCAAAGATAATCATCGGGTCAACACTCCAGCCGGATGCGTTAATGCACTCGATGACAGTTGTCCACTCTCGATTTCCCGGCTGGATAACAACAGGTCGATTCCGTCGGTCAGATCGAGTGACCACTTTAGACGTGCTTGCAACACCCATCTGGAAACCAGTCTCGTCAAAGTTGTAGATGTCGCTGTCAAGAACACCGTATTCGTTGATGGTCCTTTGCACTCGTGCAAACCACGCTGAAATCTTCTCTGGATCCTCGCATAAGGCCCGTTGATAGTCGTACTTTCTAGAATACTTCGTCTCCCGATGGGGATGCCGATGAAGAAGCCGCTGGACCCAGTTCTCACCGACAGTCATTGCCGGGACCGGGGTGGATGTAAGAGACGCGTCGAGTAGAGTGAAGCCTCCACGCTCGCGGAGAAGAAGGTCAGCCATCTGTCGGATATAACCGATCGTCGGCGACATCCCACGGTCGTCCAATGACTCGATCCATTGAATCAAGGCTGCTTCTTCAGTTGGGCGTAGCTTTCGGTTCTTGACTTGAGCTTCTTGACGCGTACCGCCCCCCTTGACGCGTCTGTGGAGAGTGGACTTCGGTACACCAAACGCATCCGCAGCCTTGCGAATGATTTTGATTTGGCCTGAACGTAAGGCCTCGAGTGCTAATTGGATTCTATCTTCGTGCTGTAGAGGCTTTGGCATTTTGCCGGGCACAATGGCGTAGTGGAGTGCGTCCGAAGTCGACGTGGTGGGGTGTGGGGCAGAAAGCTGTCCCACAAGGTGGTGTGTCCCAGAAGGTGATGGATTACGTTATTCCCTACACTGATCAGTGGTTAACTATACCACTGTTAGACAGCTCCCGCCACAGATCAGCAAGGTTTCCAGAAGAGACGGAATTGTTGGAGAGGTTCTACCAGGTAGTGACTTCTTCCACAAAACCGTGCTAAGGAGTCTTCTCGAGACTTTCACTTGGACTCAGGACACAGTGAAGGAACACGAGAGGCTCAATCTGAAGTAGGGAATACCAGGTATCGCGATAACGTTAGAAACACAGGGCAAATCCCTTCTCTCTGGAGGGACGTGCTACATTCGTGGTTTTAGTTGGATCATGTTCTTCAATCTGGAAATGAGGGGGGCGCAGATTCTGCAGCCGGGGTTGTCGTCCCCGATGTCCAGGACCACGTGACGACTGCCCCAGCGGTGGATCCCCCCCTGCCCCTCCCGTCACGTCCCCCTGCGAGGACGTAACTCTGGCCGTAGATATTCCAACACTGGCAGTCTCTTCTTTTGAGGCCAGGAAACGCCAGAGTTCGCAGGAGGGGCTTCGGATTACGTACATGTCCTCAAATCTCCCCTTCGTAGTCCACCAAAGGTCTCCGTTTCCATCACATGGAAATCGATCGTTCCCAGGGGTGTGGGCACTGTTGTTGTTCCCAAGGAGGCCTTAGGTGTCCCATAGCCGAATTTGACGATGGCTTCTCCGGCCCTTGTTGTATCCAGGGTAGTTGAGGGGAGTTGACGTTGCAGGGCCTGGAATTGCGGTTGGCCCGCTGTTGAGAATTGTGCGGCTCCGGAGTCGGGCATGATACCCCTAAAAGTTGTTGCAGAATACCGGCCCTCGGCGGTGTAAGTCTCCGAGGGGTCCTGCTCTTGAAAAGGGTCTTCCTTCGTTAAGAAGTGGTGGGTGGCCGCGTTCGCCAGGAGCGTCGTAGTTTGATTCGCATCTGCCGGCACAGAATCGTTCAAGAAGGTACTGTGGAATCTTCCTCTGTTGTCGATAGTGTCGTCGTCCTAATCGTCGTATCTTTGGAAGAAGTGGCTGATGGGGTTGTACGTGTCACCGTCCTCGAGTTCAGAACCCTCATGCCAGTGGATAAACTGGGCAAAGGCCGCTGCTGAACCGTCGCGTGTATTTTTGTTGGCCTGAACAGTTCGTACGA